TTTTTTTTTTTTTTTTTTTGCATTAATCACTTGGTAGAGGTGGGTCTGATTGTTGTCCAATTTCCCTTTGCCAGTGCAGCCTGTTGCTGTGTCCTTTCAGTGATGCATACATGGAACTTGAATCAATAAATGTAAATAGAGCTTTTGGTCTGTAATGCTTTTATATAAAGTTTTTATTTTGATAATAAAACATTTTGTTCTAGCTTGTCTGCTTTTTTAAGTCCATAATGCTCAATCTTACTGCACTGAATTTTAAATTTTTCCCTCCTTTTTAAACATCAGACTATTTCTGCCTTTTCTAATCTCCCTTGTGCATTAAGTTTCTGAATGTCTGATAGCTGGGATCAGAAAATCTACCAAGACAGACAGCTAGATGGCCAGATAGAAATAATATGTGCCCCTGAAGTTTTGCAGTGTTTCCTTTACCATTTATCAACGCAAGTACTAGCAGTGATTTCACAATACTTAGCTTGCTTTTATCAACCATTCAAATATTTATTTAAAGGCATGCTGTGCTTTGAAACTTGTTCCAGGACTGAGAATCCAGACAAAAAAGGCATGGTCTGAAAGCTCTTCACCCAGTTCTTTAGACCAGGGTTGGCAAACTGCAGCCCGTGCTCCAGATCCTGCTGCAGCCTTATGTTCATATGGCACAGGAACTATGTTTCTATGGGTTTTTTTTTTTTTTAATGTTTTTGGAGGGTTGTGAAAACTGTGACAGGCAATATGGCCTATTTGGGTTGAAGTTTTATAACATGTAGATCCAAAGGAAATGGGTATCTTCATAAACTGGAATCTTAAGAACCCAAATTATAATCTAAAATTTTTAGGTATACGATTAGGAAGCTTACATTTTTAGAGTTAGTCGAATTGGTGGTGGTTTGGAACAGTGTGGTGTTGCCATGAACTGATAGTGGTTTTCATTAGAAATAACGACTAGTAACAGTTGACTCCCAAGGCCTTAACTCTTAAAGGATTTACAATGTAGTGGAGAAACTAAGACAGAAACCTATAACCTGATTAGGAAAATTGGCATTTTCTCATTACCAAGCATTTCATACCTAACAGTGATTAGGCTCATGGATTCTGTAGTGACTCCCATCTGACAAGGAAACGTTAGGTGAGTTGCTCAGTCCCAGCCGTGGTAGTAAGGACCCCATGCTTCCTTCCACACTCCACTGGAAGCTCCACACACCATCCTTAGAGTTGAGAGAACTCAAAGTTTTGATGATCAGATGCAGAGAAGTAGCGTTATGACAGTCCTGCCCCAAATGAGCAAGAATTGCCTGTATATTTGTCTTTCCAACCTGATTATCCAAGGTTGAGATGGTACCTACCTTTGTCGCCATTACTAGGGTTGAGAACGAAATCTAAACTATAATGGACTAAAGCAACTTCCTAATGAAGAGGGCCAAGGCAGGGAGGGGGCTGGAGGAGGGCTTTATTTGTGTTTTATTTTTAGAACGAAGGAGTGAGGGAACTGATGGCTCCAGGTCAGGTAGGAAATTGGGTTATTTGCGGTTAAGAGTTGGTGCTTTGGAGCCAGGCTGGAGAGGATTCCACTTTGAGAGGAGAGTCACAGCAGATTCTGAGGGAAATAAAAGGTGAGGAAGTGTTATGTTAATGTTTACCACACATTTATGGGGTAATATCTCAAAGATGAAGTAAATCCAGAGAAGGTGACAGAACTGTCCGATGTCACATAGTGGCAGAGCTAGACTGGTGTCTTAGGGTTTTGTTACATTTATTTTTTAAAACGAACCTGAGCTTGCCTGCCTGAGGACTCAGAAAAGCAGGGGAGGGGGTTACTCAGGTCCTGTCGGTGAGAATAAAGGTGTCGGGTGTGGAAGCCTGGCTGAATGGCTTCTGCAGAAGCCCTGTTGAGCAGGGAGACAGGCCAGGCTGGGTGGGGGCCTGGGGCTGTGCGTCAGGAGGGGCTGGGAGTGGGGTAGTAGGGAACCAGGGTACTGGATCATTCAGCATAGATATTTGAAACCCTTCAGCCTTTTAACTGGGGGCCTTAAACTCCTGTAGGTAGAAGACTCCTTAGATTAACTACAAGATTGCAGAAGAAGAATGCTAAGAGGAGAGCAAGAACCTCAAAAGTGTTGCTGTGAGCCAATGGAGGATGGACTAAAGCTTAGGGAGGCAGTAGGCAGCTGGGGATCTTTGCTTGGGAATGTGTAAGGAATGGATTGATTGCAGAGAAATTGACATGTTCCAGGGAGAGGGCCTTTTCCAAGATAATATCCAGATGACGCAAGACTTGTTTGAAGGAAAGAGCAAGAAATAAAGGAAACATTTAAGGTTAAAAGTTACTAACATTTGAGTTTTGTCAATCTCCCCTGCATTTTGTTTTATAAGGTTGCATTTATGTTTTATGTACAACTTAAAGTTACTAACATTTGAGTTTTGTCAATCTCCCTGCATTTTGTTTTACAAGGTTGCATTTATGTTTTATGTACAACTTTAGCATGAAGAATGCCAAAACACTTCAAATGGCTATACAGTATTTGTGTGTATATATATATATTCCATAGTTTACTTAAATAATTTCCAATCTTGGGATATCTGGATTATTAACAATCGCTATTATGAGTAATGCTGTAATTAACATTGTTGTGCCTGAATCTTGGGTTAAAATAAATTTCTAGAAAGTGCAGTAACTCAGTTACCAGGATGAAGGAAGGTGGGAGATTGGGGTTTTGCAGAGTGTGGGGCTGATCTATAGACCTAAGCTGCTCAGGTGAACTTGGGTACAGTCCAACCAAGGGTGGAGGGAGAGGAGGTGAGCTGCTTGACTGGAAACCAAAATGGAGGCATGGCTCTCTGCAGGTGGGCTCAGCCTGTGAGATTGCCAATCTGCATAGCGGGCCAAATGAACATTTTTATGTAATCCCCGGACTTGAATTTGTTGCAAGTGTTCGTTGTCAGATGAAAGTACCTGCTGATAATGCATGATTGCAGCAGTGCTCAATCCAACATTATGAATATTTGCCAAAGGAGGCAAACAAGAGTCAGCTGGGCGCCTCCTAGGCACCAGGCTCAGTGCTCAGCACAGTATGTTAGTTCTTCATAGCAGGCACTTTAGAGATGAGGTGACTCAACAAGGTTGAGTAATTTCTGAAGACTCAAGAGCCCATGCATGCTCTCCTAGCCCAAGAAGAGAGATATTAGAACCAAACACTCTTGGGAGGATTTCTGATAGATCTGGCTACATACCTAGATCATGACACATAATACCTGCCACCCATAGTTCATTTTACTTATTGCCCTCTGTAGACCATCTTTGATTCAAATACCCTTATCATATAGTAGGGTAGGAAAATTCCTGAGATTTTGGTAGAGAGAACTAACATTATGATGGAATCCCAACATCGGAAGCATTATTTCCTGAGCTGTAACCTTTCTTTGATACATTGTTAGGTTCATTTGTTTTATTTTGCATTTGATTTTAAAGGCTGCTTTTTTTTAAAAAAAAAAAAATAGAATTTAATTTTGTTTTATATTGATGTAAAACAGTTACATGTTTCTGTGGATTTGCCTATTCTGGACCTTTGGGAACATACAATATGTGGTTTTTTGTGTCTGGTTTCTTTCACTTAGCACGATGTTTTCAAAGTCAAGCTTACAGATAAGATGTTTTTAGAGAAGTCTGGGTGATATCTCCGTCCTTCCACCCTGATCCTTCTCCCCTCTATAGGTAAACATTTAAAAGGTTTTATAACTTATACTCTGATTTTCAAAACTATAAGCAAATATGAGTATATATTTGTACCCTCCTCTTGC